GGCACACATATCCTTTCTTCCCACTTCAATAACTCCACCATCTTCCCTTTCTTTCCAACCACCTTAACTATCGTAACCCCCGGGGGACGTTCCTCTTCATTCAAACATCGCTCCATGATGCCATCTCCCTTGTACCCACTTGCTATACGCTCCAAAAATTTGTGGTTGACGGTAGTCGTAATGAGGGAGAGGGCATTGAGGGACTTCTCCGCATCAGAATGTAGACGAGAGAGCGTGTCGGCAATGACATTGGAAATGCCCGGAATATGAGATATACGGAGGTCGTAGTCCGCAAAGACAAGTAGCCATCGCTTCTGCCTCTCGGACAAATTGGGTTGCTCGAAAAACCACCGGAGAGTAGCGTGATCCGTGAGGACTTGTATGGGAAGTCCCAGGAGAAGAGGACGCCATTGTTTGAGAGCATGCACAATGGCAAGTAACTCCTTCTCGTGAACCGGATAATTTTTCTCAGCGGGCAAGAGAGCACGAGAGTCGTATGCAATGGGAGCAGCTTCTTCCGCAGTTTTACCACTGCCTAACCAGGCGCCTATCCCCGTGTTGCTAGCATCGGTGTGGAGGTATAAGTTGGTCTCCCCAGCAGCGATAGCGCAGAAGTCGAGAGGAGTGAGGCTAGTGATGTTGGCAACGAGCTCTTTGAGCGTGACAAAAGCGTGATGAGCTTGAGGAGTCCAATCCCAAACCCAAGGCAAGACAGGAAGGGAATGGGGAGGGTTCCCACGCGCGAGAAGACGTTTTGGGGCCTCATATGCTTTCTCAGCAGTTTTGTTGGGGGGGAGGAGGCCAGATAACACCGAGGAATGCGTGGCAATATCGGGGATGAATTTTCGAAGATATTGGAGCAAGCCAAGGAAGCTGCGAAGCTCTTTGACAGTATGGGGATTCGGCCACGAGCGGAGAGTAGAGACCTTTTTGGGATCAGGACCAATTGAGTTGTTGGAAATGACGTGGCCCAAGAACGTGACCGAGTCGGCGAAAAAGACCGATTTCTCCTGAGAGCAACGCAACCCACTCCTCCGTAATGCCTCTAGCACCACTCTAATCCTTCATTCCAACTCTTCATCATCATCTGCCCACACTATCACATCATCCACATACGCCTCACAAGTTTCACCAATCAGTCCTCGCAACGCTTCGTTGACTCGGCGTTGTTGGGTCGCAGGGGAGTTACGAGCACCTTGAGGCATGACCACCCATTCATATAGTCCCCAGGGCGTGGCAATGGCCGTCTTCTCAATGTCTTTCTCTTCCATCAAGGTCTGAAAGAAAGCATCCGTCATATCCATCTTAGCGAACACCTTGCCCAAGGCAGCGCGTTGAAGGATATCCTTGATAAAAGGGGGCGAGGTTTGGTCAGGGATGGTGACGAAGTTCAACCCACGATAGTCGCAAATGAACCGAAATTTCCCATTCGTCTTTCGGATTAAAAAGGCAGGAGCAGCCCAAGGGGAGCTCGAAGGACGAAGGCGACCAGCATGACGATGTTTCTCAATTTCCTGGAAGAAGGCCTCTTTCCATGCAAGAGGGACGCGAAACCCAGGACGAGCAACTGGCTTAACACCAGGGAGGATGTCGATACGGTGGCGGACTTTGGAAGTATCCGATGAGACGTCCGGATAGTTCTCAACATTCCCAATATCGCGAGGGAGGACGTCTGCAAAGTCGGCGTGGATTGCCACGGTTCGCTGTTGACGTTGAGGGGAAATGACAACAGTAGGCTGAAGGGTGGGGTCGTCAACAGCGAGGGAGCAGAGGTTGGAAGGCTGAGGATTGGCATGGACAGAGCGACCCTCGGCCATGAGTTTGTCGAGTCGAGCGGCACCTTCCAACAGACGATGTTGGAGACAGAAGGGGAGCCCGAGGATGATGTCGACATGATGAGGGGTAGGGAGGATGAGAAAAGGAGAGTTCTTGTAAAGAGTGGGGCCAATAAAAACATCCATTTTAACTCGGGTATCAACAAGCGGACCAGGTCGTCCATCCGCCATCCTCGTCTTCAACGGTTTAACTTTCTCTTTCCTCAACCCAGTTGCCCTGACAAAACTCTCACTAACGGTATTGATTGCCGCGCCAGGATCAATAAGACCTGTAGTGATAGGAGAGTCAGCCGAGAGACCGACGTCGACAAAGATAAGGGGGACTGACTGGATGTCGGGGGCATCGATATCGTTCTCGACCGCAGCATAGAACGTATCGCCTTCCTCGCGAATCCCATTACCAAGTGGAGTTCCTCGAGGCCTGTTGGGAACGGAAGATCTCTATCGTCGTCCTCCCAACCAAATTGAGTGCAAAATTGAAGCCACTCAATGTCGATTTCTTCAATTCTTTGAAGAATGCCTACGTACCATCGGCAGTTGAGTTATTATATGTGCGGTTCTGACTGCAGTAGGGTTTCTAAGGGAATGTTTTGGGGGTGGCACCAGCGAGCCTGGTCAGAGACGGCCACCGCCAGGCAGTTGACAAGTGCATGGTGCAAATCCGGAATCTGGCCGCCCAACCGCCAGATCATCATGAGCGGTACTGGGGCCCGGCACACAGCACCCCCTCCAAAAATATCCCAAGGTCAGCCTCTTACACCTGACTCTGTCCGCGGCATACGCCTCAACAACCATGCCGTTTGAAGAGGAGAGCTCGACGCTTTTGAGGCACTCGAAAAGACTGAAAAGGGGCTTGAAATGTCTTTGGCGAGGGAGAAGCTACTTCAGGATGAGATTGAGTGCATTCGGGCTGCTCAAGAGCTCGACAAAAACACCAGAGGGGGGAGGAAGAAAGTGAATATGCCTTCGTGCGAGTTTTATGACCCAGATTATCAGGAGAATAACAGGGTATCATTGGGGAAGAGGAAGGAAAAAGAGGAAGAGAATAAAGAGAAACAAAAGCGTCTCGCTCAAGTCAGGAGGGCCGGAGCTCAGTCAAAAGCTGGCAAGCAGTCCGCAGCCAGCCCCCCTAGGACTGTATAAAATATTATACCCATGCATGCTATGGTTGTCACGCAAATGCAGATTTTCTATACATTATAAAAAAGATGTAAAGAGTCCGAAAGAGTGGTATGTCTGAGTTTGACGTCATTACGAGTACCATTCAAGCATGGTCAATGTATCCCTTTTGGTATTTTGTACTGTTGTTGTGCAATGGCATTACATAACCATAACAACAAGGCATAGAACAAATAGGCAAAAACACAGGCAAAAAAGCCTCCGGTGGGGCTCGAACCCGCAACCGCACGATAAATGATGCCCATAATCGGTTCAAGCAAACTCTAAGAGTCGTGCGCGCTACCGATTGCGCCACGGGGGCTCAATAGCACGTTTCAAATGTAGCCGCTTATTTTTCTTATGAGAAAATATTTTAAATGCCCTGGTCAATATTGTGAAAAATCCAAAATGCCATGGTCCGAATCCGATTTTTGTCATCTGCCCTGGTCTTTACCATGGCTGTATGGGGGTATGCATTGGGGCTAGGAGACCAAATCTAGCATGTCCTGAAAGTGTAGAGACAGCTCCTCACAATGGTATAGTCAGATTCCTCGTATGACGGATGTGTATTGTGTGAGGGGATGTACAAGCGCAGGTCACACTTTTGCAATGGGCTGGATAATGGGAGCTCGTCTGTTCCTGGGTCGCGGCTGGTGGGACCAGGGCATTTAGAAATTGGGAGCAAGGCGACCAGGGCATTCTAGATATTACGGGCAGTAAAAGGGGCCCTTCGATTACCACGCCTAATCGCCCAGGAAGCCCGATAGGCGCCTCAGGCAAGGAGCACAGTTTCCCACGGTCATCATTGTGCTGGCCCGACCGCCCGACGCCGAGCCAGGAACTTGGGCGTTTCGACGCGTCGCATGATTGTTGACATCAAATCTCGAACGCGTCCCCAACCCCTACGCCAACATCCAACGTCTCTTCCACACCAATAACACCAACAAATCTTGTTGATGATGCATGGAATTCTGAGATCCTTCCGGTCTTCGCCGTTAGAAGTCAGTTAGCAGTTCAGCACAAGTCCCGAGTCAAGGTCAACCTCTGGCACTCGTTATCCGTCAACTTCCCACAACAACCCAAGTCTCATTCTTCTCATTCTGCCCGGATGTTCTGTAGAGCGGTCGCAAAAACCATTTGCATATACATGTGATGTGAATTTGCAGAACGATTCCTACAGAGAACGCGAACGAAGATTCCCCACACATGGGAAGCACATACGACACCTCTGACCGGTCGTCTCAACGGAGCTTACCCAGCAAAATGGCGTCTCAACAGACCGACCTCATCCAGTGATTAGATGCCGCAATGGCACACCAGCCTAGCCCCGCTGAACCCCTCCCCCACCCTGACTAGCATTCCCATCTGGCACAATTCAGCACCCATCGCAAGACTCCTGGCCGCTTCACCGCTGTTGTTGATGGCCGTCACAATGTTGGATCCAGCGAGAGGTAGAGAAGGAAGTGGAGCGCTGACTGAAGCGAGTGGGAAAGGAGGAACGGGCGTTGGTGTCATGGGGGTATCATGGAATCGAAGAAAGCACGTTTGTAGATGAAACTGTTGCAATGGGGGTCAGCTGGCCTGTTCATGCACACCCTGTGAAGAAACCGGAATCAAACAACGTACGAGTTGAGGAATCGTTTGCCGACAATCTATAGAACATAGGGACATTAGCAAGCAGCCTGAAATGGATAGCGAAGAAAGCGCAACGCACCATGCAGGTTGGATATGGACAGGTCACCGGCAGGAGCAACGGGCCGGTCGAATGAGGACGAGCAGTAGTCAACAAAACGGAACGTACGGACTGAAAATGCGTAAAGGAACTCACAGGCGCGCCTGACAGCAAAAGGTAGTTCACGACTGAGGCGATTATAGCTGAAAATGGTTGAAAACAAACAATCGCGATGATCGCTGTATAAATGCAAACAGGAATCAACAATGACGGGACGGATGGATATGCGGCGCTCGGCGTTTCGGTGTTTGGTTTGATTCCGAGACTGTGGCAGCGGCCCAGTTTATCCCCCGCGTCCCAGAACGGATTTTCAACCCGGATCACAGTCGCGGTTTCCGGGACCAGGGCATTTTGGATTTTTGATTTTGTGACCAGGGCATTATAAAATAAATCTCTTTTTCTTATCCTTATTCTGGGATCAAATATTTGGCTGGGAAATTTGAAAGGGTATTTTCGTTACCTCGTGTCTCCCCTTATTCATTATTTCTTGGTGTTTACATAAATGGCGCGTCGCGTCTGCTCTCAGCGTGACTTCAAGTCACATGTCATGCGCCTATAGTCTACTTATACATCCACACCCTTGCCGCGCGCTCACCTGCTCAACTCTCCACTTACAACACACCCCCCCACGATGTCTGAGCTCGCGCGCATCAAAGAAGATCATCACGAAATCCTCGTGATACTTTGAGCCCTTGTTCTCTTCTTCGCCGCGTGGAATCTCGACGATGACTGGGGCTCTCACGCTAATAACTTTGCTGAAGTGATGCTGTCTTGCACATTTTTCCTCAAGATAGATGGGATCAGGTGAGCTGGCCATGCCCATAGCATGACGCGGAAAACGAATATTTTTCCATCGATTTAAATGACTTTGTACAAGTGAGCAAAATAAGAATAAGAAATAAGATAAGAAAGACCTAAATAGGTCGTTCTTTACCGCGCCGATTTAGTCCGACTCAATTCTGGCCGTGTTTCCAAAAAAAATATTTTTTGTTACCAGATTGTTAAGATATGTACAGAATTGTTACACACCTCCACCTTGCCTCCACTCTATCCGTCCACCCCGCGCACACATTGCAAACACAGTTCACCCTGCTCGCTTGCCCACAGCAGTTCCGAGAATGACCTTCTCAAGGATCAATATATGTCTGGAGCGAGTACATCTACTGGAATGTTTACCTGAAACGACTCATCCATAAAGCCATTGTTCATGTTGGGGGGTGATGATCGTTGGTAGCTTCTGCCCTGGTGGTGCCTCCGCGCCATGCAGTTGTGGCGAAACTGGTCAGCTCTGCTTCTTCTCTTCTAGTTTGCGCTGTATGCTAACCTATGTAACTTTAGACTGGATCGCCCTTGACATGTCGTCTATTCTTTCCTTCGTCAACACCAAATCGTCTTCCTCCTTCACAGCTTCTTCTTCGGCCCAGCTGCTAGCCATGATGACCGCTCTCTTCCTCCTCGTCACGACCTAGCCCACCTTTACCACAAATTCTACAAGAAGAAGAGTGATGAGAAGATGTTACCCGAGACAAAGGGGACAGATGAGTTGCCAGCTGCGCATCCAACCTCTTCTATGGCGCAGCAGCGGAAGACAGTAGGAAACTCTTCTCAGGCGGCCTGCAAGCAGTATGCAGCCCAGATGAAGAAGGACGTTCTTGGGGCTGATGAAGAGCAGAAGGCCATGAGGAAGAAGGAGGGGGTAATGAGGATCCAAGCTCTTCCGGCTGCTGTGGTTCATCGTGAGTGACTGACAGATTCTGTCTTCAATACGCACTTCGACATAAGACTGACCTCCTCTTGATTTTATAGGTTCGTCAAAGAGTACAGCCAAGGCATTCCAGGCCAAACTTTGGGAGTTGCCCGACAAGATGACGCTTTACCCATCCGACCAGAACCTTGAGCAAGTTCTGGATGAAGCACTCAGTCAAGTGAAGTCTTCATGGAGCGCTCTTGATGGAGCGCTCTTGATGAAGAGAACGGGCAGCAGGCCTGATTTGCAAAACACAAATTCGACTGGCCCAAATAAATGTACAGTAAGTTACATTCCCAGACTTGGTATGGCTGTGACTGCTTGCTGCTCTAGCTGTCGCTGCATGCTTCTTGTTGCTAGGTGATATCCGGCTGACTTTCGTGTTTTAGGAAAACTGGCAACTCTTCTTCTGTCAAGTTCAGCTCCCTTCCAACTAAAGACCCCGGACAAAGACACCAGCATTGCGGTTCGTTTGGGTCCACGCCTTCCGGCCGAGCAGACTCCTCGTCTTCTGCAGAGCGTATACCAGAACCACGCCAAGCAGCTCGCTCGAGGGAAGGGTCCCGAAACGCCCTTTCTCCGGATTGCAGTTCATGTGTACAAACCATTGCAGGTGAGCCTTTGTCCTCCTCCCCCCCTCTCAGTTTGCCTCGCTTCCGCTCGTCGCTTATACTGTGATAGGGTGATCCTGTTGTCACACTCAGTAAGGGAAATAAGCGAGCTGAC